GTACAATATCCATCTCATCAGCCGGTGCCTGTAAATGCAGCTTACAAGAGCAGGTTGTAATTTCATTAAAGATGTATTTACTGAGCTAAACCAGCTGTTCTGGGCTGGAATGCAAAAAAAAGACCCATGTGATTGCAACTCAGTCATTTTTAAGGCAACTGAAAAATACATTTGCTGAGCTAACCTCACCCTCCCAAAGAGCTGGCACTGCTAGCTTCTTCTGTGTAAAAGGTTTAAACAGTTATTATAGTGTGTCATAAATTTTAACTTGCAATTGAAAATCTCTTCACTTCCTTAAAAAAAAAAAAATCCTTATCACTTGCTCCGTAATTACAGACTATGCAGCTGCTCTCTTCGGCTTCGCTAGAAAATTTGAAGACCTGAAACACTATGCAAACCTTATTGAAATTTTATTAAATTGATAGTCATAGATACACCACTCTCCTACTGGAGCCTGTCAAATAATATCGCTTTCTTCCCGTTACCAGGACTAAAAAGCAGATGAATCAAAAGTTGATCCAGGTCATATTAAGTTCCTCACCACACAGGAGACCATCAGCCCCTTAGCAGGAAAGTATAATCTCTATTTCTGCCAAGTAGATATCAAAGAGAAACCTACCTGAACACATGGCTGGAAAAAGGCATCAATATATAAAGACAATTCTTACTTAATTTTCAATAGGTCCTGGTCATTATGCACAGACTCAATTGTCTGAGTTGCTTTAGTACAATTTTTGTACCATTTCCTTGTGTCACTTATAATGAAAAGAAACTCCATTCATGAAACAGTCTAATATTTCAGTCAAAGACAGAGGACTGGTGACCCCACAATATCCTGTTCACCTCCAGTAGTTTGACATGAGCCATACTTGATTAACTACTCCCTAGCCTCTGTGTACTCTGGAAGCTACAGTGAATTTTTAGAGCAATTAAAATAAAATATACACCACGTGCCTCTCCCCTTGATTCACAATGCATTTCAGCCTTGGGTCACTTATCCAAAACGGACAGCTTCTGGAAAAAAGCTTTACACAGCCCACACTTCACACTGTACTTTGCTTCTCCATGTTGGTGCAGTATCATCATTTTCAATAGCAAGTCATTAATTTGCTGGGATTAGGCTCTATAAAGAATTTTCAAGTCTGAAGAATTTAATTAATTCATTAGCACAACAACGTAAAAGAACTACAAAAACAGTTCACAAAGGTAAGTCACAATGCTGTTTCCACCTAGTCCTTCTTATTGTTTTCTTAATTCCTCAGTCATGCACACAAAAGCTCCATGGTGTCTTTGAAATCTCAAGTCTACAGGATGCCAGACAAGTAACTTCCCTTGATGGCTAGTGAGACCTATTTTTCCCAGGCATTTTGAAAACTTCCACTGTAAGAACCACTTTAAGGTTTTAAATTCAAAATACAGACTATCATAGTTGTTTTAGATCAGCAGTTCAGAATAGCCAGAATTTGGAATGAAGCCTTGCACCCTCAGAATAAACTGGTGTCCATCTGCTCTCAGTTTTAAAGTATGGTTATTCACAAATTTCTGGGCAATTACACAGACAATTCAACAAAATGGACAATTTTTTTTTAATAGTCATATTATCAAACAGAATACTGTAGGAGTTGCTTTTTTTTCCCTCATTCAATCCAACTGCAACTAGAGATACTTACAGTTCACCGGGGACCTTTAGAATTAAAACTGTAATAGCCTGAAATTATTTTACAACTATTCCTCAAAACACCAATTGCTGCAGTAATACTGTTTATATTTGTCACCAGAAATTACTGTGTTTAATTTTCTCTTTACTTTCACCTGTCACTAAAAAGCTAAAAGGAAGTAAGATGGAAAAACAGAGAAGGATTTCTGAA